ATATAGATATTTAATATAATTTCTCTTCGGATATAGTGTTCCTCATTTAATCATGATTATTGTCACATAAAAACAAATTATTATAGCATAAAAATTTATGGTGATTTAGTTTAATTGTTATAAATTATAGTTTATACTTAATAAAATAATTAATATTTATTATACATAAAAATTGACTCTATTTAATTTAATTATTAAGGATATCTAATAATTATTGTTAACAAATCATATAATAATAGATATTCATTACTTAATATTTTAAAATTAATTTATAAATTAATATTTTTAAATATTATGATTAATTATTTAAATAAAAAATTATAAATTAATAAAATCAATTAAATTAAACACACTTTTTATGATTTACCGTCACAATAACATAATTTTATGCGGCAGTAACCCTATCCCATTTTTCTCTTTTTCAGATTCTCACCCCATTTTTCTCTGGTTCACATTGACTCTTTGCCTCAAAACCCAAATCTTCTTCCTTACCATCATTTCATCCCTCTAGAATCAGTTTTTTTACAAATAAAGAAATAAATAAACTTTCTTTTCTTTGCTTCATTTTGTACGACTTTGAAGTGAAGATGACTAAGTACCATTCAGGAATGTCCTTTTTAAAAAAAAAAATTATATATTAATAAAAATATATAAAACTTTTTTACGGAATTCGAATATACAATTTACAAAAAAAAATGAATAATTTCAATTCAAAATTTATGTCAATGAATCAGAGTGAGCTGTTTTTAAAATATCCTAATTAAATCTCCATACGAGATTGGAAGATATATGGTGCTACACTGGACTGTCGGACGAGAGTATATAAATAGCAATAACTGCATGGTATTAAAAGGATAAATTAATCTTCTATTTTCTTGTTTCCGTTTGTGCTCAAACATGTCTATGCTATATATAATTGTTTTTTTTTTTTTTGCCCTTTTATGTTGTTATTATAATATTATTATTAGTTCTAATTTTAAGATTTAAATCCATTAATAAATAAATATTATCTAATAAATTAATTTAAGATTTAAGTTTTAAAAGTAGTATTTAAATAAATTAAAATTTTTAAATGTACAAAACTAATATAAGGTGAATTTTAAAATTTTTTAAAAATAAATTAATATCAAAATACATAAAAATTGATTTAAAAATATTTTAATAATAAATAAAAATATATTATTATTAGTTCTTATTTATATTAAATAAAGCTTTCTAGGGGTGTTTGTATTTGATTAAATTCAATTAATATGATTCAAACTGGCTCAATTCAATAAAAAATCAAATCAAATTAATATAAAATTGAGTTAATTTGAATTATAAAATTTTAAAATCAATATAATTGGTCTGGTTTATAATTATACCTTTAAATTGTCTAAATCACTTTCTTTTTCTTATTTTATAAAATTATAACTCTATTAATTTAATTAAAAAATAAAAATAAAATATTTTCATATTCTCTAAGTTATTTTTCATTTTTAATCATGTACTTTAATCTTAATTCTAAATTTTCAATTCACTTACGACTTGATTCCTTAAAATTGATTTGAAACTCTACTTTTAAAACCCTGAATTTATAATTTGCTTCTCAATTAATATTTTGATTCTATTAACTAAGTTTTAAAGAAATATTATTCTAAAAATCTTATAATTACATAATAAAACTAGTCTTAATATTTTACTATTCTTGAATGTTTAGTTGAAGAATTTTAAATTTTGATTATGAATACTTTTAATCAATTCTAATTATATTTATATTAAATTTTATTTGTTTTTAATCGGATTTGAAAGATGGTATTCAATCATTGATGCATTAAAAAAAACTAGCTTTATAAAGTCATATTTTATTATTCTTGGTGTCTTATGTGATGTAACTAAAAAAAAAATTTCAAAATTTTTTAATTTTTATAATTATAAAAGAGTATAATAATTTATTTATAATATATGTCTTTTATTTTATTTTTATTGATTTGGATATTAATTTATTTTATAATTATATTTTTATTTAATGTTAAAATTTTATACATTATCTCATAAATTTAATAATATTAAAAATTAATCAATTTAACCAAATCACATAATCCAATTTAAATTGAATTAATTTGATTATATAATAATACATTAAATTAATTTAAAATTTTAATTAATTAATTAAATTAAAAAAATATTAAAATTTCAATCAAATCATTTTTTTTATAAAAACAATAATTAATAGATTAATTTTATTAATGATTAACAATTAAAAATTCAATCCCAAAATAGATAAACATCTTACTTCTCTCTCGACGAAGGCGCGCAGCCCATCTGCCTGCTTTGTGAAGTTTTCAATCAAATCATACCGGGAGGACATGAAGCGTTCCTTCTCTCGTTCTTAATAAAAATTTCTTCTCTAACTAACTAACGAGGGATTGGATCAAGTGGTAAGCGACTTATTTCAGGTTAAGCAAGTTTTCGAGTTTAAGACCTTGTGAATGCAGCAGTCATCGTTGGAAGACTCACCCACCATTTTCAGGTGCGCGACGCGAGTCGGGTCCGAATTAATCGAGACGAAACCTCATGTACCGAGTGAGAAACCAAACAAAAAAAAAAAAAATTTCTTTAATTAGAAAAGAATTGCTGCTTCTTCTGCTCTGCTCACCGGACCTTCGAACCCAGAACCCATGACTCGAGTGTTTGAAGACAAACACTCAGCCAGTAGGACTGGGAAGAGGCCGGTAATTAGAAAAAGAATTGTCTTAACACAAATATTTAAGATGTAAATTAAAAATATATTTATTATAGATATATAATATAAAAAATTAATATTAATTTTAATATAAGTTAAATTTAATTAAATAATTAATAAATTAAAATTAAAATTAATTTTTAATATAAATTTATAATAATAAAATATATTTAATAAATTTTTAATTTGTTATTTAAAGACACAATTTAAATAAATTAAAAAAAAAAGAAAAAAAAAATCAAAGATGGTCTAAGACGGTAATTGGTGGATTGGACAGCATGTGGAGTTGGACCCACAAAGGACGGCCTTCGCGAAAAGACAGCACGTGATGGAAATGGGAGTCAGAGGAAGTTTGGTGGTGGGGACTTTTGTACACGCTGATTGCGACATGGATAAGAGGGTCAATCGCCGATTGGATGGGTTGGCGGTGGGCCCAAAATCATGATGGAATGTATTCATACGCATCTATTATCTCGTGGGTCACCGTCAATTCCACGTAAAGTTTTACACCGCCAGATCTTAATGCACGTTTTTTTATTTTCGGGTCCCCATTACCATTAGGAAATTATAGCACGTTTTTTTCAACGTAAAATAACGACATAAAGTGGGGGAAGAATTATCTTTTGCCTATTGATGCCGTTCCAACTTCAGACATGTCAAGCTGGCTCAAGTCGTTTGCACTTACGTAACAAAGCAAGTAAGAGAAATGTGTGTAACACATGCTGTGGTGACCGCATTTAAAGGTGTAAGAATCACATTAATTATTAAATTTTTATTTTTATTTTATTATTAAATTTAATAAATATTTAATAAAACAATTTATACATATTATTTTAAAAATTAAAATTAATTTATGAATAAATATTTTTTGATATTATAATTAATTATTTAAAAAATTATAAATTAATAAAAATAACAATCAA